CTGTCACTGGCAGGTCCCACGGAGTGAGTGGAATGCCAGGCTTGAGCAGTGCTACCTAGCACTGTGTGCTGGTTTCATGGTATGCTTGTAAAATATTTGTTCCACATGAGTATCACCTCCTGGTGGCTGGCAATGAAACAGATAAGAGATCTAGTACCTGTGCAAGCTTGGGGAACTCCTCAAGCAGCAATGGCCCCTGTTCTGGGAGCTGAAGCAGCAGGGTTTTGTTCCCAGTCACCCAGAGTGTGTGCAGCACAGACACGGGCTGGCTTTTCAGTTGCGCTGTGCTCTGGCTCTGGTTGGCATTGTTGTAAGTCAGTAGATTTGGCAAAGGACAGCGATGTTATGCTGGTCCAGATCCAGTAAAGAAGGGCTAAATGCCTTCCGATGTTCTGCACCCAAAATGGAGAGCCTCGCTATCTAGTGAAATTCTAGTGGTGGTTTTAAATCCTTTTGCTAACTCAAGAATTTCAGTATTGATAGGAGAGTAGCACATCCGATAATGGCCCCATCCAGTATTTATGAAGTACTGATTTTTTGAAGCAAATCTTTTCTTTCCTGAAAACCATATGAGTTTTCTTCTGTGGAAAGTTCCAGCTGGGCAAGGCTGAAACCCTCTTTTTAGCCAAAAAAATAGTCCAGCGAAGTGTGAACGTCTCCCTTCAGTCCAACCCTAGAGCAGAGCTGCCTGTGGGCATGTGTGAGGGAACTGGCCTGTAGTCTTTTGATGGTGGCACCTGCTTTCTTTCAGGGTGACTGAACCCCGCAATCACTGAACAGCCATGAGTTGACTGTTCAGCCTGGGCCACAAGCGCTATGTTCCTGAGGCCCTGTGTTTTAATAATAGTCCCCTGAGCCATCATGCACTAGTGCCATCTCCTGGAATAAAATAGTTCCCCCTTGGCTATGTCACACATCCCAGTTAGGCCTCAGTAGAGAGGACTGTGCTGCTTTGTGGGGAGAGCATCCTGGTCTGTCACTTGTGCTGCCCACAGGTGGAGGTCTGCAGGTGTGCAGGCATGGAGTGTGATGGCACATGGCATCTTCTAGGACTTCACTTGTAGCATGGGGTTTTCACATGAAACCAGGTAGTGTCACATGAGCCTGAAGAAAGGGTATACAGCCAGCTTCCTTAGTTAGTCAGCTGCTTTGGCATCTTCCTGCTGTGCCTTCAACAAGGCCAGGCCTCAGGGGCTCTGCTTATTTTAGATTTCTCTGATACAATACATCTGGAAGAAACCTCCCTCCTGCCTGTAATACCGACTCCATTAAACAGCTTCTTGTTCTCATACCGCAGGGCTCCGAACTGATGAACAAAAGGAGCATTGGCAGCCACTTCCCTTAAAACACGTTCTCTCCGGAAATATATCTGTTCCAGAGTGACTGGCTGGCCAACTCAGTAGAATAAGGAGAGAATATCTGGAAAGGGAAGGAGGGGGTTGGGAGCAGGGGCATTGGGAAGATTGGTAGATGCATCCCCTGCCTCCCATATGCTTGCTGTGAAAATAGCATTGGAAGCCAATATGTTTAACCTCTGTTTAATCAAAGTAGCCCGAGAGAGAGGAAAAGGGAGAGAGCTATGCATGCAGTGTTGTGAATGGCTTTCTTTCATAGCCTGGAGGGATGGGGGGGACAGGACTAAAAGGGCCCTGAATAGTTTTCCCCCTTTTAAATTTTTAAAGCTCCTTGCCCAGCGAGAGGGAAACCAGAGTTAATTATATTGAGTCTATCTCTTCCTCCTTGGTCTGAGATCAATCTTAACAAATTGTGCAGCTCCCAGTGTTTGCAAAAGGAAGGTGGGGGAGAGGAAAGGACCAGTTTTTGTTAGTGTGATTACACTGCCACCTGGAAAGCTTTTGCTGCAGTCTCAGTGCTGCTTGTCCTCCTTGGCAGTTTGCTGGGCAGGCATGGGGCATGAATCTTGAGAAAGTCTGGCAAGGATCCTGGAGAAGCAACACTGCCTGGGTACCTGGTGTTATATTTGGAGTTCCTGAGCGCTCAGTGTGGGTTGCTGTTTCTCTAAGGGTAGGAGATTGACTCAAATAGAGTCTGTTCCCAGTGGTATCTATAGCCATGTGACCTATCAATGGGAAAAGAAACCTGAAGCAGGGCAGTGTTCAGGGATTTATGATTTTTCCAGTTTATCCCTTGTAATGGGATG